TTCTGAATATAACCCCCATTCAGTGTGAAACACACTACAGTATTTCCATGCAGATTAGAAGTTCACCAAAAACATACAAAGGTGAATGATTTTGAAACCAGAAATTGGCTCCAGAAAAGGAAAAAAAATCAGGAAAATTTCTCAGATAAGATACCCAGAAATGCGTCTTTGCCATTCATATTATGCTCAGAAATAAGTTAGAGATAATGTTCCATCTGTTGCTTATCTCAACTTCAAGATATGCTGGATACCTGCATGACTAAGCTTTTTTTGAAGATCAAAAATACCCAATGTCCTCATTTATATTTTTAGTCCTCTCTTCCTCCTCCTCAGCAGGTCAGAAAACTTTTGCCTGAGGCACCCAAAAGAAGGGGGCTCATGAATTGTTTGAAGCCCATGATGTTCATCAGAGGGCAAAGCAAGAGAAAGTGGGACTTGGTGTGCTTGTGTTATTTCATCATCAGTGTTCCTTGTTCCACGTTTCGAATCACAGGTGATCCTTGGCAGCGTGAAACTTTCAGAGACTGTGTATATTATTTTTTGAAATTAAGTGAAGTCATGGGACTTTGGTTTGAAGACCCTGGTGAAAAATCCAGTGAATTTTACTATAAGGACTTGAAAGATCTGGGCCCTGACACTTCTGTGGTCAAAGTGTTTGTTCCTGACTCAGTCAACATTTCTTCCATCCATGCCTACAGAGTTGCCAAGGAGTGTTACAAAGTAAATACATGTTTCACTATTTTGTGCAATGAATCTCTGATTTAAAAAGACATTTTTACACAAAGAAAGATTCACTTGATGAAACATTTTTGGAAGGGAGGAAAAGTATTGCCAAGGAGTGTTACAAAGTAAATACATGTTTCACTATTTTGTGCAATGAATCTCTGATTTAAAAAGACATTTTTACACAAAGAAAGATTCACTTGATGAAACATTTTTGGAAGGGAGGAAAAGTGACTGTCATAATTTGGAAAAACTAAATCCTCCAACAAAAAATTAAGAAAAATTTGAGTTTTAAATCATGCATTTTTTTATATCAAGGAAACAATTTTTAAAAGGGAAGGGAGGTTGAGAAAAAAACCCAAAAATTGTGAATTTCAATAAGCTATTGAAATGGGTAATTTAATGAGTAAAATATCCAGTATTACAGTATTTACATTTTATACAGTTCTTGAAATCCAACTTATGATTGGTTGCTCAAATACCCAAGTTATCCAGGTTTGAGCATATTGAATATTCTTCAAATATAACTTTAGAAAATTCATGTTTCTTGTCACCTGGAATTTATTAACTTTGTTAGTCAGAGGCCCATTTAATTTTACAATTTTGCAAAATTACAAAATGTTCCTTATTGATTTCCAGTGTGCTTGGTCTTACATTGCATCATCTGAAGTACAAAACCATCCAGAGGATCCAACACTGGTATGGGAGGAAAACAGCAAGTTCACCTGGAAATATTCATTGAGATCACATTATCTTGGTGAGGTTGTTTCAAGACATGACCCCAGCAGTGAACTGTGTCAGGTCCCCTGGACCTCTTTGGGACAATATGGGGTCTATGAAATCACTGCCAACCAAACCATGAATGAAACTGTCCTTGTGGATGATCAAAACAACACAGTGAGTTTAAACTGTGGTTTCTGGGTTGACAAGGAGCCTGTAAACATCTATAATGGTACAGTAATTAATATACTGTATTTTGAAATAAAAATAATTAATTATTTAAATTTGAATGACTTTTTTTCAGGGTTGCTGGCAAGCTTTGGGTTCTTGGTCTTGCTGGCCATCTTACTTTCTCTGGGAAAATTCATGTTTAGAAAGTTCAGACCTAAAAGTGTCCTGGAGGTCATTGATGACATTGACAAAGAGCTGGAAATGGCAGCCATTGGACAAAGGGCAAAGCCTAGCTCAAGTCAAAGAAAGGAGAGATCCAAAGCTCTGGATGTATTCAGAGGGTAACACTTATTGGGATGTTCAAAAATATTGACCAAAGTACATTTATAAATTGTTTTCTTTTTTCCATTTCAGGCTGAACATTGTTCTGATGATCTTTGTCAATGCTGGAGGGGGAAGTTACTACTTCTTTGAGCATGCCCCTTGGAATGGCCTCTATGTTGCTGATGTTGTTTTTCCATGGTATGATCAGATTTGAAAGGCTTATGTTGAAATGTTAAAAAATTGACAAACATTGCATAGGTTTGTGTGGATAATGGGAGCAGCAATTCCCCTGGCAACTGGATCCCATCTCAGGAGAAAAATCAGACAAGGAGCTGTGAACCCCAAGAGAGAAGTCATGAAAGGCGCCATCTGGAGAGCAATCAAGTTGTTCCTTATTGGCATGGTTCTGGGCACACTTGGTGGAAGAAATGATTTGAAAATGCTGAGGATTTTTGGGGTTCTCCAGCGCTTAGCAGTCAGCTACTTGATTGGCACAGGGGTATTTCTCCTGGTGGCCCAAGAAAATTACCCTGCACCTTCTGCCATCTCTGTGAGGGAATTGGGGAAATTGCATCCTAAGCTGGATTTTGACAAAATTTAAATGCCTTTGGTGTGAAGAATTTCAGAGCTGGGGTTCATGGGGTTTTGCTGATGGCACCAGCTTGGATTCTGACTGCTGCTCTACTGCTCATCCACAGTTTGGTCATTGCTCTGCTTCCAGTTCCTTCATGTCCAAAGTAAGTTATCACATCATTCAACTTATTTATATAAATGTGAAAAAATACTAAGTTATAATACTGAATACTGGTCATGGTTCAAATATTTTAGTTATTATTCCATAGCTTGAAGTTCAGTTCTTTGGGTTACCAAGTTTCTGAGTGAAATTCCTCAAAACTTATTTGGTAATGAGAAAGAATTGGAAGCAAATATTTTTTGTGAATCAGCATGTTCAGCATCACTTGACAGCACAACAATTTAAAACTTGAGAATTAATACACTTTTTCCATTGGAACAAGCTTGTCACGAATAGCCTCTGGATATACTTCACTGATGAGCTTTATCAATATCTTTAATAATTTGGTAATATATACTCAATCTGCTCTTGCAGTTTCTCTCTTTACAATAATGAATAGAATAACACATGCTGAATGACATCCATTTTTTAAAATATGAGTTGATAAGGTATAGTGTTCAACATTGAAATGTTCATTGTTTTTTTGTGCATATCATAGACTCTAAAATTTGACTGTGTGAGAGAAAAAACTCAACATTGGGATGAAAAAATTAAGAAGGTGGCTCTGTCAAATAATGCAGTTGACAAAAATGAATTACTTTGTTCAATTTTGGCTTATACAGGGGCTACCTTGGACCTGGTGGACTTCATGAGGATGGAGCCCATCTTAAAACCTGCATAGGGGGCGCCACAGGTTTCATTGACAGAGAAATCCTGACTTTGAATCACATGTACCCTTACCCTACCTCCATGGAGTTGTACAAAAGTGGACCATTTGACCCAGAGGGTCTCTGGGGTGAATATTTAAATTCCCTGATATATGCCTGTTTTTTTTTTGCACAGCATTTGAAAGGAATTATTTCCAGGTATTTTGCCCTCTGTGGTGCAAGCAATTCTTGGGGCACAAGCTGGGATTATTTTCCTGGTGTACAAAAATCACAGAGTGAGATGCTTGCATTTCTTTGTTTGGGGCCTCAGCACTGGGGCTCTTGGGTGCTTTCTGGCTTTTGTTGGTGAAGGAGAAGGACTTGTCCCAATCAACAAGAATCTCTGGTGAATAACAAATAAAAAATGAACAAAATATCCCACCACCAGGTAAAGAACCAAATCAATGATTACATCTCTCAGGTCCATTTCATTTGTGCTGGTGACATCAGGCCTTGGGTTCCTCACCCTTGGCCTTGTTTACATTCTCACTGATTGGAAGACACTTTGGAAAGGCTCACCTTTTTTGTATCCGGGTTTGTCATTCATATTGATTCCCTTCTTGCACAAGTAAAATTCGAGAATAATCTGGATTTTTTTTTTTGCTGTTGTTGCAGGAATGAATTCCTTGGCAATGTACATTGGCCATTCTGTTGCCTACAACGTGTTTCCCTGGAGATACAGATATGGAAGCATGAATACCCACTTTGAAAGACTCGTGGAGAATTTGTGGGGAACTTGTCTTTGGGTTCTTGTGTCTTTCTGGATGTTCAAAAAGAATATTTTTGTTAAGGTGTGATTTTATCGCATTTTCTGAAGATGACATTGAACCACTTTGAATTTGTGTAGTGAAAGGATTTGTTGAATAAAATTAAAAAAAATTGAAAAAAAGTCAGGAAATTGTTTTGTGTGTGTGTGTTTGAACAACATTTCAAGAGGTTTTATTTTTTTTAGGAATTTTAGTGTCAAGGGTACTTCTTCAGAGTTCCCTTAAATATTATTGAAGGTTAATTATTCTTGGTTAACCTCTTCATAAACCTGAAGGGAAATAAAGATAGCTTTTCCTAGAACTGAGAAATACACCTATTTTATTTGTTGCTCAATTTTTTCTCCATAGCAAGACTTTTAAAGACTGAAAATTTCATTAGAAGAGGAAAGAATTTGCGTGTAATTTTGTATTGTACTTTTTCCTACAAAACAATAGAAAATGAAAATACAGTAATTGAATACCAGGTCATATTATTTTTACGACTGTAATTGACACGCCTTCAATGAATTTGAAAGAATTTGTGCAGTGAAAAGATGTGTTGAATAAATAAAACATTTCAAAATAAAGTCAGATTTTTTAAAATGTTTTTGAACAATATCTTCAAAACTTTTATGCTTCAGTAATCTTCAAACAGGCAAGTTTGTCTCCATCACATGAAGAAATTAATTGTCAAATCAAACAAAATATTTCTACAGAGGAAACAATAAAATCTTGTCTAATTCTCAATTTTTTTCCCACAAAAAAAATAAAATTCTGTCAGTAGAAAATTAACAATTAAGAAACTGGTCGTTTTATAATTACCATCGCCATTGAAACCTTCAATGAATTTCTCGCTGCTTGTGACCTCAGTTCATGCGAGATTTGCATGCAAGGTCGTCACAGCCAAAAAAAGATTTTCACCTTGAAGAAGGTTTAGCTCGTTCAGGTCGATTTATTTTTGCACGAGGATTTTGCAGTCTCTGTTTGCCTTTTGGCGTTGACGCATTATATTGCTCAATAGTGAAGGAAAAAAAGACCAAAGTCTTTGTGGCGACGGAAAAAGTGCAAAAACTCTGGCTTTTTTCTTTTTATGCAATAAAATCGCAGTGAACTTCGTCAAAATCGGGAACACAATTTATTGGAAATTAGCCAAATTCCACAGAAATTCGTGTTTCTGAATCAGAATCCGCGATTATTTTGCTTGATTTTATAATGGCGTAATTTTATTCTGAAATGTTTTTGTGAGTTGAAAATATTCAAGGGAAAAATAAATAATTTGACATGAAAATTCCTGTCAAAATTTGCGCGGTTTTTCTCATGACTTTGCAGGTGCTTGCTGCTGCTGAACAACATGTGAGTAATCCTCATAAAAGGGAAGTCAACTTGAATGAATTGAAAGATATTTTTGATAATTTTTTTCAAATATGGAAAAAAGGAGGAATCTTCAAAAGTGTACCCAGTTTGGGCTCAGTCAGAAGACCCATCTTCAAAATCCTGGACTCTTTACCTGTATCAAGAGTATCAAGACTCATCACAGGGTCCTTCAAGGGACCAAGGACCCTTTCAGCTGTCTGAGAACCAGGATCTGTTGTCAGATTCATTCAAAAGTGCAGATAGTGTAGCAAGGCTTTCCAGGTGCAAGCACTTGTCAGGGTTGTCAGCTGAAGGTGGAGTTGCTGCTGTTAGCCTTTGCCCTGGTGGAGAAACTGTGAGTTAACATTTTTAAGTTTATTTTTTCCTCAATAAAAATCACTGTCTTTTTTGTTGTTGTTCAAAATCAAAGCTCAGAATTATTGGCTTATTTGTAAATTCTGTAAAACAGTACAGTCAATCCCCAATGATGGACTTGATTCAAGCAACAAACTAGTCTGTTGTGAGAAAAGTCTGTTATGACAATTCAAGTATTAAAAAATTAAAATTATTACTCTTTACCAATAATTTTAAACCAACAGAATTCTTTTATGTGGATTTAGTCAATTGTGCAGCAGGATGAGGAGAAACTGCCTCCAGTGGCAGTCTGTTGTGCAAAAATATCTGCTGTTTGGGAGGTCTGTTGTGTGGGGGTCAAATATATGTAATGTGCTCTAAAATATTGTTTTATTTAAACAGGGGAAGAATACCTTCAATTTTTCAGTTCAGGTTTTGTTTTCTCTTTTCAAAAAGTAAAAAAAAATACTTTCAGTAGCATTTAATATCAACAGGGATTCCAGAAAATAAAATAAAAGCTATTTATGAATATATATTTTTCTTTAGCAATTGACAAAATCTTGTGAAATAGAAATTAACACAACTTTCTAGAGCCCCTCTTGAAAAATAATATTTTGACAAATGAAGCTTTTTTCAGGCAAAAATGGCAAAATCCTTTTAGTATAGGCTTTATTTCTTAATATTTTTGGTACACTTAAGTTATTGCTAATTATTTTAGACCCAAATTCTTTATTCTCAACTCAATTAATTGGCTTTTTGTTGCTGTAAGTTCATGAAGCACATATTGAGAACTATGCTCCAAGTCTTCAATTTTCATCTTTTGCACTTTTCATCAAAATGTGCAAAAATTGTGACTTTCCAGACAGGTGTTTTCCTGAGCAGGGAAGGAAGAAGAATGGTTTTGAAGCCAGATGGTGACTCCAGCAGTCGCCAACAGAGGTCGCATGAAGAATCTCAAGACCCAATTCCTCATTCCCTCATCACAGTTAAGGACAGTAAGACTTCAAACAAAACTGAACACAAGGCCAGCTTTTGCGGTTTGAAAGGTTTGCAGAACTTTTAAACATATTATAATCATTTTTTTTTACTGTGGCACTTGATGTTTATTCTAATGAAATTGCATGTCCTGATGAAGCTGCTGCCAAAATGGAAGGAAACTCTTCTCGCAAGGGATTCACCATCAAGGTGCTCATTCAATTTTTTGCTTCTGAACATGCCTTTCATTCCAATTGGATTCATATTAGATACAGTACATTGAATTTATGTATTTTATATAATTTATTTTAGCCAAGAAATGAGACCAGTCAGAAAGAGGGTGCTGAAAATTCAAGGGCTGTGGATGAAAAGTACACCATGGAGTTGGCTGTTTTTACAGGTATGTAGGTTTCATTAATAAAAAATTGTAACTTTCAACAATTTTTCTGGGAATGTCAATGAATTTTCAAATGTCTGACCCACAGTCAAAATTTCTCTGTGCAATTTTTAGTAAAATTCTTTGATTTGATCACATTTTCAGTACATTGGATTTTGGACTGAAGTGTTTTGTTCAGTAATGATCTCATGGAATCACTCTTTCAATCTTCAACAAATTTCCAAACAAAAAATACTGCTACAACAAATGTTTCAGTATAACAAGTCCCAGCAGAAAGTGATTTTGAAAGGGGTTTGTGAAACCCTACTAATGCTTAAAAATTTTAAACCTCTATGAAACATACACCTTTTCCATATCTATGCAGAAATTGCTTAGAAATACATAAAGCCAACAACAATTCTAGTGTTTACCTGTGATTCAGAGTAAATGTTTGTTATTAACATTTTAAATATCTTTTTGAAGATTACAGGTTTTAAACATTGGGAAACATCAGAAAAGGAAGACATTGAATATATTTGGGTTCAATTTTTCAAATCTTTCAATCAGTCAGAAATTTTGAAAATCTTGTTAAAACAAATAATTTGCTATACATTTTTTTTCTGAAGTCCCCATGAGTCTGTTGTAAAGAGATTTTACTGTAGAAGAGTAAACTCAGAAGGCAAATTTCAAATATTGCATATACTGTATTTTCAATTTGTTGTCTGGAATTCTTAAAAAGAAATGATTTTGAATAATACATCTCTGCTTGAAACAATCACATAGATGATATATTTATTCAATTTCGATTTACTTGAAGATGGATTCACGGAAAAGCCTTCAATTGAATTATTTCCCAGCCTTCAATAATGCTGCTCGTTGTGAAAAAGAATAAATAAAAAATAAAAATAAAAATCAGGATTGTAGACTTCGTTGCTTTCATACTCCACAATAACCGCCACCAGATGCCGCCCTCCTGCGGTTCATGGAATCTCGCAACCCCGACGGCGGCAGCGACGCCATGAGCCGCGTCGTGGACGTCGTCCTGGCCTTCGTGAACGCAGTCCAGGCCCTGTTCGATGCCGACCACATCCGTCCATCCCTGGGCATCACTGTTGTCCAGCTCGACGTGTTGTCCGACGATGCAGCCGGGCCTCCGATCCCGGTGAAAGACGGCACGGAGATCGTCGACTACCTGGAGGCCTTCTGCTCGTGGGCTGCAGCGAGGAAGCCGACGCGAGCGACATCTGAACGATGGCAGGATGCCGTGGGCTGGGACCACGCGCTGCTCATTTCTGGCTGGGATCTCGCCATCCAAGGTTAGATGTCGCTCGCTGACCTTTTACCTGCACTCTCGTCGTCTCAGCGGAGTTTGAATATACTGATGCTGTAAACGGGAGGGGTATGACACAGTGCTCGGGACAGAGATACGATTGAGCTAAAAAACTTGTGATGAACATTTTTTGGCACAAGAAAAAAAAAAAATCTGCGCAGTTTTACACATAGCTGGTGTAATGTGTTGAAAAAAGCACTGCTGTATACGCAAAGGGGGCGTATACAGAAGTTCTTCCGATAGAGATTGAAATGGCATATTATTGAGCTGAAAAACTATTCATAATAAAAAAACATATTATTTGGCGCAATAAAAAAAATTCACTCCTGTTTCACGTACGTTTTTCATATTTTTTTGCATGCTTTATACACAATCAAGATAAACTGTTGGCCTTATATGATTTCTCATGAAAGATTCTCTCTAAATTGTTCATTCAACTAAACCTCATACAGAAACAAGCTGAAGACCTTGTGCTTTAAGTAAAGTTTTACTGCTATTTTGTTTTCAATGTCAGGAAATGAGTGGGTGTATGCATACATGTCAGATGTCCAGTTGTATTTTGTGGATTGTATTTTCTTTTATTTTTGTTATCCATTTGTGCTCTGTTTCCAGCTATGAAGTGATTAAATGTCTTTGAGTTGATTTGGATTGGGTGGGGAGGGGGTTTGGATGTGAAAATCTTGATTGAACCTTGTGAATGCTGAAAAGCGGCAAGTAAAGTGTTCTGTTCATTCATTCATTATACGCAAGGGCCCTATCAGAAGTTCTTGGGATAAAATTTAAATACTATAGCATGTGATTGAGCTGAAAAACAGTTCTATTGTAAAAAAAAGAACATTCTTTGGACCAGGAAACAAAATTCAGCCCTATTTGACAGTTTTATTGTAGCTTTCTACACAAGTCATGCACCCTGGCAGCATTTCTACTCTTCACTCAAGAGATGTGGAGCTCATCTCACAGATTTATTTTTCTTTCTCAATTCTTAAAATTTACATGACATTAATTGCAAGGGGGACCTTTAGGTCTTTCAAGATACTTTAATTCTGCCATTTTCATAAACAGCCTGCCACATTCTCATCTCAAGTTTACATGAAAGGTTGAACAGGTAACATTTAATTTTTTTGCTTTTTGTTTTTTGCAGGGGACACAACAGTGATGGGATTGTCATGGGTTGATGGGATCTGCAGCAATGATCAATCGTGTTCTGTCAATGAAGGCCGCAGCTTTGAGTCTGTGTTTGTCATGGCCCATGAGCTGGCCCACAACCTTGGCGTTGGCCATGATGGGGATGTTGGGGCTGAAGACTGCCCTGATGCAGGCCACATCATGTCTGAGTCTGTTGGGCCAGGGAAGACCACCTGGTCCACATGTTCACAGACTGCACTTGCCTCTGGCCTCAGGTATTATAGGTTCAATACTGTTCTGAAAATTATTCTGAAAGTCTGCCTGCATCAACTGCTTTTTGAATTTTTTTCTCAAGATGATACTGATTTCATTGTAAATATCCAGTGAAAGAAGTGAAGTATCTAATTATTCATGATTTAATAAAGATTATACAATAAGTTTTTTGTAAAATAAACTGCTTATTGAATTTTAAAAGATGATTCTAAGTGCAGTGTGTATGACAAAGGTAAGAATAAAAGTTTATTCATGCTTTATTAAATATTAAAATAAGTTTTTATATCATAAAGTCCCTATTTATGTACCTCAGTCTGTTGGAGTATCAAAATGAATGTGGAATGATAAGCAATTCTGGTAAAACAGCAGTAAGTAAAAGTAAACGGTTTTGGCTGATGACTGAAATTCCTGGTGTAAGACTCCAATCACTTATGGTGCTGATAGTATGTTAAGTCACATTTATTTATAAGCATTTAAAAATGTGTTTGACAACCACTGAGTGCAAGACCATGACTTGTCAAGCAGGAGTAAATTTCTTGACAAATGCTCAAGCATTTAAATTATTGTTTGAAAAGTCTTACTGCTGCTTGAACTCTTCTTCTACTGATAATGTTCTGTTCGTATTTCAATTCTAAGCTTTCCAAATGAGACATCTTCCTGATTTGATTTTAGACATGCAACTTGCCTGAGACAACAAAACAATCCCACAAACCCATCAAGTACAGCAGGAATTTTATCTGGCATGAATGCAGAAGAAGAAGAAGAAGCCAAGTCAAACACCAGGGTTTTCTCAGCTGATGAACAGTGTGCTTTGCACTATGGTAACCTGTTTTCTGCAGTGAAAAATCAAGAGGTTTGTACTCTTAAGAATACCCTTTTTTAAGTTCATGGTTATTTCTTAACACAATATGTGACCATATTCAATAAAGGACATCTGCTATGACTTGTACTGCACCAATGGAGCCAAGATTGTCAGGAGTCACCCAGCAGTAGAATTCACAGTTTGTGGAGAAGGACAAATCTGCAAACTTGGCAAATGCATAAGTGTTGATGGAGACCAAAAGCAACCCCCTTTGGTCAGTCAGAGCCTGTGGGTGTCCATTGCTGATTTACTCTTGCACAAAGCAAGGACTGTCTCTGAACAACCCAAGAACAAAAAAGTGAGTGCTAATAATTTAAGAGCAGATTTTTCATATGACTTTATTATTCTTAATTTGAATGTACAAAATGAAGGATGGTTGAAAAGTTTGGTAGCCCTCATTGACTGCCTAAAACACATATGAAGCACACAATATACAGTACTTTCCTTATGAACCAACACTCTTGTTTATTGTATGTACATAGGAGACAGCACAAGTTCTGAGGTCTACAGCAGATGACCCATCAGTGGACCACAATTCTGTTCTTGAAAGAATGCCTTTGGTGCATCCATATGAAGGTGCCATGTCAGAGGCAATCCCAACCAGAGCAGTAGAATGGAAGGTGACCTACTCTGAGTGCTCTGTGACATGTGGTGGAGGCACCAGGACAGTCACCCTCCTTTGCATGCTCACTACCACTGGACCTGACTCTAGTGCCAACAACTACCTCCAGGTGGACCCTCAGATGTGTATGGACTATGGTGTGGCCGTGACTGGGAATGGCAGAATAGTGGAGTCCCCTGGGAACAACTTTGAGAGCTGCAATACTCAGCCTTGTCCATTTGGACACTGGGAGGTTAGGCCATGGGGAAAATGTATTCCTCACCATTACCAAGTGAGTCCTCAACTACAAAAAAAAAATAATTTATAGATTTCTGATTTTCAAAATTAGCTGACAAACACCTGCTAACAGTTGTCAAAAATGTGAATCATCAAGTTCATTAATTTTTCACACACTTTTGAAAATGAAAAATATTCTTGAGTTGGTTGAGACAATTTCTTGTGAAGAGCTATTTATACAGAATCTTTTGAATTATATTTTCAATTGTGTATACCAGGCTGAATCTTGCATTAATCTTTATTTTGAAGTATATTGTATTTAAAATTCAAAGTGAACACGTTCCTCATCATATTGTATGAGACATTTGGAAGTGCAAGAAAGACAGTGAATGTTATTACAAATCACTCCATATCAATTTTCTTCTGTTTTCTATGCCAGGGTGCAACAAGGCAGAACAATGAAACCCAAACCAGACTTTTCTTTGGCAAGCAAGAAGAAAGCAGCTTGAACTGTGTCCAGAAGCAAGGGATCCAGTACAGATCAGTGATTTGCAAGGCCAGTCTCACTGACAAACTTTCCACAATGTCACCTTTCAAAGTCATCAAATCCTTGTTTGAGCTCAAGAAAAGCCTGCTGACTTCCAAGCTGAGCTTTGTCCTCAAGGACTCTGATTGTGCTGTTGTCAAGCCAGCTGATAAACAGTTTTGCATCCTGGGTTGTGATGATGAATCCAATAATGTTGATGGACAGAAATTGTCCTTCTTTGGGGCCATCAATGATGGACTTCAGAAAGCTGTCAAAAATGTTTTTGGCATTTTTACAGGATGAGTGAGTCATTGGGCCATGTGATGTGCTTCCCAAGGTTGAAAAAAGTTTTTGTTTTGTATTTTTACATGATGAAATAAATATAAAAACCAAGTGTTTCCAAAGACTTCAGTGTACCATTATTCACCAAAAATACTTCACAACAGCTGGTTTCTTTGCAAATAGCACATTTTTAGGGATATGAGCAACTCCAGCAGGATCTGGGTTTGCAAACAAATCCCCATGAAGCACAACAACAAAAAACAAAAAACACCAAAATATTTCACGCGCAACAGATTTGTATTGAGAATCACAAAATGTCTCTCTTCATGAGGAAAGAGGTTTCTTTTTCTTCAAAGAATTCAATAATTGCAATAGTTATTTTTTGTTGATGTAGTCATTAAAGCTCTGTTTCCAGCATTTGCAAGAGCCAGAGACAAGGAACCAGTCATAGTACATTCTAACTTGAAAGCAGCCCTTGTCATCATATCCATCACAATACACGCCGCCATTTGCATCCCGTTTCACACGCATTGAACTGTCACTAGGTGTCGCTAGTGAGGACTCACTCCGCCCTTCTCTGATGCCCTGGGGTTTGTATGGTGCATAAGCTGGTTGTTGTTGTATTTGTTGCTGTTGTTGTTGCTGCAAGAGGCCCTGAGGGGTGGATGCTGATGCCTGAAGCTGTTGTTGTTGTTGTGGTTGAGGCTGTTGATTCCCAGAAGCAGTGGTTTCTGGGTAGAACATCTCTGAAACCAGGAGACTGACCCAGCGGGGTGCTGCCAAGCAAGAGCCTTCCAACATATTGCACTTCCGGTTCCTGTTGAACAAAGACAAGAAAATTGTTCATCAGCAGGAAATTAAATTTGTGAAAAGGTTTCTAAAAGCATGCTGAATTTGCAATATTGATGGACTTGTTGTATAGTATGAGTTGTCAAAAGATAAGGAAATTATGTACTGGGAGGTCTTAATGTCTGTTAGTTTCACATTCTCAAGTCTGAAATTGTCCAAGTCTCAAAGTGTTCTAGTTTAAAAATTGTCCACGTTTCCTCAAATACTTGTCCAAAATGTCCAAGTATCAAGTCATTGTCCAAGTTGTCTGAAACACTTGTTCAAGCTCATAATATCTAATAACTGTTCCAATGCAGTCTCACATTTCCTCAGTCTTGAATTGTCCAATTTTCAATCTGTCCAATTTTCAATCTGTCCAATTTTTAATCTGTCCAATTTTCAATCTTTCCAATTTCAATCTGTCCAATTTTCAATCTGTCCAATTTTCAATCTGTCCAATTTTCAATCTTACCAATTTTCAATCTGTCCAATTTTCAATCTGTCCAATTTTCAATCTGTCCAATTTTCAATCTGTCCAATTTTCAATCTGTCCAATTTTCAATCTGTCCAATTTTCAATCTGTCCAATTTTCAATCTGTCCAATTTTCAATCTGTCCAATTTTCAATCTGTCCAATTTTCAATCTGTCCAATTTTCAATCTGTCCAATTTTCAATCTGTCCAATTTTCAATCTGTCCAATTTTCAATCTGTCCAATTTTCAATCAGTCCAAGTTTAAATGATTTCTGAAGACTAAAATTATTTCAATGGAGAACCTCCTAAGTTTGTCCTTTTGAGTTGAAGATGAAGGTAAAATATTTCATGAAAATACATTACATCAATAACAAGGTCTTGTTTTACATAATGCATATAAAAACTGTATGAATGAAATACAGTAGGGTAAAATGATTGGAATATTCATCATTCTTCATGACTCATGACAGTCATGAGAGAAAGAACCCAATTTGGAGTCAAATTTTGACCAAACTGCAGTTTCACTGTAGTATTATAGGAAGCAATCCAGAAACTCACATGCACTTGGTGACCTCCACAGTTTGTGTGAAGTAGCCTTCATATGGGATCTGAACAATGTATCTCCATACCCCTTGGTAATTCCTGGCAAAAATTGGGGTCACATACTCCACAGTTGTTGGACAGGGTGTTGATGGGCCATCTCCTCCTGATTCTTGTTGCTGCTGCTGCTGCCCTCTACCCCTGGTTGGAGGAAAGTCTCCATCATCCATTCTCTCCCTCATGTTCTCTCCATTCCTGCTTCTTTGCTTGTTGTTCCCTCCTTTTTTGCTGTTACTGCTGCCAGTCACTGTCTTGTACATTTTGCACAGGCTGCCAATGAAAAGAAAATGTCAGAAATTTGACAAACAAATTCAGAAAAATCAGTCTAAAATGCATATCCACCTCAGTTTTTTGAAAAATAACTTTTAAAAGTTATAACATGGAGTCAAATCACAAAAGTGCAATGTTCATTTTTCCTCGAAGAATGTTGTATGATTAAAATATGAAGTTGGTAATTATGAATACTGTATTCAAGTTTGCAGAGTCTTGTTTTTATTTCCTCCTTCAAAATATAATATAAACTGAATTTCAATTGATGCAAAATCACTTTGTACAAATTTTCAAGCATCTGAGGTATGTTTCATAATGTATACAAATTTTGGAATACAATAACTCACAAGTTGTTGTCATCAGAGTCACAAAGAGCCCTGGAACTCCGGGATCCACTGTCATTTTCAGTAGGTTTTGATTCAGCATCAGTGACTTCCTCATCAGTTGACCTCTTCTTCCTCCTAAACATAAATAATGAATCACTCTGACTAATAATCTAAATATGTACTGTGTATAATAAGAATCAAAACACCTTTGAATGCTGAATTAATCTGTGGGATTTAAATTGGCATGTGTTTGCAAATCAATGAATGGAGGCTGAAGAAGTGTTCTCTCAGTTCACTTCATCTTGAATTCCAAACTATGCTTCAATTGAATCATCAGTACAGTATTTACTTGACAAATTAAAGCTTCTCAACTTTTGTTTATCTTTATTGTGGTTTAATGGTTCAAGTCTATCTACTGATTCTTGTTGCTGCTGCTGCTGCCCTCTACCCCTGGTTGGAGGAAAGTCTCCATCATCCATTCTCTCCCTCATGTTCTCTCCATTCCTGCTTCTTTGCTTGTTGTTCCCTCCTTTTTTGCTGTTGCTGCTGCCAGTCACTGTCTTGTACATTTTGCACAGACTGCCAAAGAAAATAAAATGTCAGAAATTTGACAAAAAAAAAATCAGAAAAAGCAGTCTAAAATGCATATCAACCTCAATTAAAAATTATACGGAGTCAAAGCACAAAAGTGCATTGTTCATTTTTCCTTGAAGAATGTTGTATGATTAAAATATGAAGTTGGTAATTATGAATACCGTATTCAAGTTTGAACTATCAGTCTTGATTTTATTTCCCTCCTTCAAAATAGAATATGAATAGAATTTACATTTGATAGAAAATCACTTTGTGCAAATTCTCAAACGTCTGAGGTATATGTTTCATAATGTATAAACATTTTGGGATACAGTAACTCACAAGTTGTTGTCATCAGAGTCACAAAGAGCCCTGGAACTCCGGGATCCACTGTCATTTTCAGTAGGTTTTGATTCAGCATCAGTGACTTCCTTATCAGTTGACCTCTTCTTCCTCCTAAACATAAATAATGAATCACTCTGACTAATAATCTAAATATGTACTGTATATAATAAGAAACAAAACACCTTTAATCTGTGGAATTTAAATTGGCATGTGTTTGCAAATCAATGAATGGAGGCTGAAGAAGTGTTCTTAGTCAAGTGAAGTAGAACTTAAGGTTTGATACGAAGTTAACTTAGTAGTCATGTCATAAATGAACTGTTTAATTTCGAAGAGTTGAAAACAAATAGAAATAACACCAAATTACCAAGTTCAGATAGAGAATGTGAATTCCCTGTCTACAGAATACAGTTCCACCAGTTAATTTGGCATGAAATGTCTTTCACCATTTTTGGGCTAAATGAATTCTATTTGCAACACTTTAATCTTTGCAATGCGTGATTCATATCTCAGATAATAACTTAATACAAAGAAATGAGTCATCTGAAAAACTATATGATTGACATTTTTGCCTGCAAAAGGTGTAACTGCTTCAAAATGTTAGTTGAAGTAAGAATTGAATTTATGCATATATTTTCAAAACTCACAGATGGTACTGGAGGTTTGGATTCTTGGAAAACTGGCCATAAATGTCCACTTTGGGCAGTGTCTCATCTTCCTTCAAAATGGGCAGAGCCTTGCTGAAGAAGTCCAAGGTTTTGTTTCTGATCAGGTCACTGGAAAATAATTTGTTTTCCATTATTAATGAGAACCGGTAAAATATTTTTCTCCAGTCTTTCTTTGCCCAGGGCACTTGTTTGTCTGTCCTGAAATGGAGATATATGTCATCCACAAGACGTTCACATCATTCTGTCCACATCACATGTGTACTTTAGCTGGGCCCTTGTAACATAATCAGTACTGAGGAAATACTCACTAGCAATGAATCATCACTATTTCAAAATGGGAGACACAACAAGGAAGTGTATTCAACCCAAATACTTCAAGATATTTGTTTTCTTTCTGAGAAGAATTCTGCAGAAAACTTGAGTGCTAATTTTTCAACACAGTTTATTTTTGTTCAACTTAAAATACAGATTTTTATTAAGCTTTTTTTTTAAATTCAATGTTATGTTTTACACACACCAGGATAATTTGAAGCAAAAAAAATGCAAATTTCAAGACATTCTGCTGCTTTTCCAGCTTTTCACAGGCTGAATCATGAAAAAAGTTTCTAAATATTTTCCAAACTTAATATATTCTTCATATACCCAGAAGGAAGTTTCTGAATTAAAAAAAAACTATTTTAGAAGTAGATTCACTCAGAAAAAATGAAGAAACACTCAATTAACACCTAAGATATTTTCAAATGGCCTTTTGAAAAAGGTGTGAATCATTGAATTCACATTTTTGCAGTGCAAGATGATTCCAATTTCTGAGATATCAATTTAGTTGATTGAAAAAACAAAAAAAAATTGTGGATTTAGAAGAAAGAAAAAACAGTCAACTCACAAAGGGTAAGGCAAGTCACCCTCAAATGTTTGCCCCATGGGATTAGGAGGTAAGAATCCAGTGTTGAGATTCCCACACAAGTTGTCTAATCCCTGAGGGTTGGGCACTCCAAAAACTCCTGCAAAAACAAAAACCACAAGAAACCACAGTTAACCCAGAAATTCAAATGCATTCCCCCTCCTTGATCATATATAAAATGGCAGGTTTTCTTTTCCCGTTATTGTTCCCCTGCTTGACTTTGCATAAGACTTTATGCTAATGCTGCACAAAAGCATTGTATTATTCCAAGCTTCTCCAGGTCCTCTCAGAAAAGGCAGCCATGAATATTTATGAGCAGGGCTCTGTGTTTGACTAGTGCTGCATGTTGCCACTTCACACCCAAAAGGCCAATTGGATGCAAAACTTGTATGGGTCAATAAACAGCTTCTGTTGAGCTCTCAAGAGTTGGGGGCAACACAATGTAGAGGCAGATTGGTAAAAAATTAATTAAATAAATAAATATAAACATCAATAAGCCTGATATGATTGGCTGGGCATTGCCAAAAGAAATCTTTTAAATTAGCATGCTTCATTGTATGCCCCAAAAAGCAAGTTCTCAAGTCACAACTCAGCATTTTTAAAAACATTTTTATGCCAAACACACTTGAGTATATATAGATAACAAACACTAATTTACAGATTCATGCTGATTTTGGCTCTTGTTTTCATTTCAATTTATTTTTGGAGGGAATGCCTTCAAAAACTATTTCTTGTAAAGTTATATGTTTTTTTTTCTGCCAGGCTCATAAAGATAAATCAGGGAATTNTAAAACTCACACCTTCTTCCCACTTGAAGAATAGCTCATTGAAATAATTCAACCAACAGATAAAAAATCTGACTGTCTTTGCTTATATTTGTGTGTGCTGTATTTACCATTTTCCATAAACAGATGAGCTAGTATATCTGGAATTCAGCAAAGAAAGAAAAGCCCTTTTAAAACTGTAATTGTTTTTTTTAATGCAGATAAATAATTCAACCAAAATAACAGATACAATCTAACTGACTTTTTTCTTAGACCACAGTATGAATCTCCCATTTTTCATTTCTCATAAAAATATAACCTTGAAAAGCACTTTTGACATGAATTTTGGCAAAAAAGGTAAGCTATTAAAACCTTTATCAATTCACCCAAATCATTTGAGAATTAATTAATTTTTAATTCATCAACTGACAAGCTATCAGAGAAATTCTAAAAAAAAAAGAACCCCCACTCCTTATATGGAAAAGCTCTTTGTCAATCAAACTCACCTGGACATGGTCTTCCAGATTTCGAATATGGCGGCTTCCTGACCTTGGGCGGCATTTTATTCGGTGCCACATTGAAGGCATAGTATCCTTCAGGGTACTCATCCACATCCAGACTCTTCCTCGCCAAAACGTCTTCTTTGGACAGCCTGGTGTAAACCCCTCTGGCTGCTGCCCCAGGCATCAGCCCATGACTGACTTGACAAATCACCGCAAGCGTCACAAACACGGCTGATGCAAAAATGGCGTCCATCTCGCACTTTTTTTTATTATTCTTAAACAGTATACTTATGTCTGTGTAATAAAAAATAGTACCGATAAAAAGGGAGCCAATTATCTCACAGGCAGGCAGGAAGCTGAATTGAATCTGCCGACTCAGCTTTTATTCATGATGATATATATATTTTTTTTGAATAACGTCTTTAAAAAAAAATGAAGAAAAGAGGGAAAAATCCTCTGGCACTCATTCCCCAACGAGCCTCAGTGCGCAAGTGACCCAGCAACAAGCGGGTCTGGTGAAAAATTTTCTTTTTCATCAAAAAAGAGAAAAAAAAAAGAGAACAAGAGGGAAATCTCAGTTGATGATATACCTCCAGGGGGCCCCAGGACCGTTATCAGAATTTGCCCTCAGGGTTCAGAACCCGCATCATCCCAGAGAAAAGAAAAAAAAACTAAATAAAATGTTTCCCTTTTCTCGGTCACTCGGAAAATTACACCGACAATATCGTCTCGGGAACAGGCATTTTTATTCAGAAAAGAAAAACTGGGCCTCCCACGAAAAAACTGTTGACCAAGAATATTTTTCACCTTTTTCTAAAATTGAAAAGGTTAAAAAAAGTTAGATTTTCCTCTCAAAATAAAGGATATCTTGTTCATTCCTCCAAAAATCTCCACATGATTTTAAAATATTCGAAAAAAATTGTAAAAATATATTTGAGAAAATAAATAAACGTATATATACACATAAGTATACCATTCTTGTGCAAAAATCGAAAAAGGACAATTAAAACCATGCTTCATTTAAAATTAAAACCTAATTTTGAATGCAAATCTGAGAATAAAAAAAAGATTGAACATCCATGTCTAAATGAAAAGCATGGTTTTGAATTTTGATTCATTGATCAAAATAAAACCAAAATTTGCAACAAATTGAAGAATTTAATTAAAAAGATGCCTTATTCTAAATGTACACATATTTTTGGAGGCAAATTTGAGCATCCAAAACAATTCAACAACCATGTCTTGATGAATAAAACATTTTGAATATTGATCAAAACATAAAAAATAAACTGATCACAATCCCCATTCAAATAAAACCTAGATTTGCTCACAACACACTCATGTTCTCTTTTGAAAAATGCGTCAACTGGAGAATAAATAATTCTGATATGACTATACAGTATAGAGAAACAGGAAAGATGTACATGAACTTTCGAACGCCCCTTTTTCAGCACCGGGTCAGGGAAGAAATTCCCGTTCCTGGAAGCAATAGATTTTCTCCTCCCACCAGCAGCATCATAACACAGCACAACAATTTATACAGGACCCACAAGTATGTAATTTACAAGCAGGCATCATGCAACAATTCCCAGGAAAAAAAGACCGTTCTGAATAAATCATACTTCATTTCTTTGTTTTTTTTCTTCACCAAAAATTTATGCTTGCACTGTGACTTAAACTTAAGTCGTATCTGTTTTTAATGTTCTTCAGAACGCACCCCAGTCCCTAAAAAGAACAAAAAACCGACAGGACTCTTATTCAAATTTAAATAACTTAGTATTTAATGTCCTTTTTAAGTAAGCTTTAATATAAGAACAGAAAATGAGTCAATTTTGAAAAAAAAGGTTAAATATTTCACGCCTTGATTTTTCGCGTTGCAAAAAAATAGTCAAATTTTCTGGAAATTCCTCCGCAAAAATCAGTTGACGCCAAATAAAAATAAATCATAAACAAAATTGCACCTAAATATTCGGGGGCCAAATTGTAAATGAAAGAAAGTCCTTCACCCCAACCCAAAAAAATGTTTTGCCAAATTAAATTTCTCACACTTCAGTTTCTTGCGCGCTGCAAACACCAGCATTAAAAAAAATATTTGCGCCACAATGATGGCAGAAAAAAAAATAGCACGTGAAAAATTCTTCATCAAACCCTGTATAAATAAATACAACAGTAAAATTTTTATTTGTGGGAACCGTTTAGAAGAGGCTGGCAAAAGGTTGTATAACAGGAATGCGAAGCAAAAGTTCATGACCCGTCCCATGAGACCATTGTCCTGATTTCTTGGGGTCTTCGGGCCCCTGATTTGCATAAGACTTTATGCTAATGCTGCACAAAAGCATTGTATTATTCCAAGCTTCTCCAGGTCCTCTCAGAAAAGGCAGCCATGAATATTTATGAGCAGGGCTCTGTGTTTGACTAGTGCTGCATGCTGCCACTTCACACCCAAAAGGCCAATTGGATGCAAAACTTGTTTGGGTCAATAAACAGCTTCTGTTGAGCTCTCAAGAGTTGGGGGCAACACAATGTAGAGGCAGATTGTAAAAAAAAAAAAAATAAATATAAACATCAATAAGCCTGATGTGATTGGCTGGGCATTCCCAAAAGAAATCTTTTAAATTAGCATGCTTCATTTTATGCCCCAAAAAGCAAGTTCTCAAGTCACAACTCAACATTTTCAAAACATTTTTATGCCAAAGAAACTTGAGAATACATAGATAACAAACACTAATTTACAGATTAATGCTGATTTTGGATCTTCTTTTAATTTCAATTTATTTTTGGAGGGAATGCCCTTGAAAAAGTATTTCTTTCAAAGTAATATTATTTTTTTCTGCCAGGCTCATAAAAGTGAATTAGGGAATTTAAAACTCACACCTTCTTCCCACTTGAAGAATAGCTCATTGAAATAATTCAACCAACAGATAAAAAATCTGACTGTCTTTGCTTATATTTGTGTGTGCTGTATTTACCATTTTCCATAAACAGATGAGC